GGAACCTCTCCAAGATTAGGTGTTTAAGCCTAACAATGATCCTTCCAGCAATTCAGAGTTTGTCCCTAGATTATAATACATGTACCCAGATTTGAGGTCTCTTGTCACCTGAAGTCATATATAAAACCTAGGAAGTATTCAGAGCTAGATCATAGAATTTTTAAATAGCAATCCACTTGTTCTTCTGGTCAATGAGACAAAGGTATTACACACTAGTCCCTAAATACAGCATTCTTAATGGAGGCTACAGGTAGTTGAACCACACATCTTGGAAAGGGGGGAAGAGAAGACACTTGGTAATCTGGGAAATGAATCCTAAAGAAGTTCTTTGGTGACTTTATACTGTAAATAAATCTTCTCATATATTACTCATTCTTTAAATTTTAGTAGAATCCACTTACCTTCAAAATGGTCAGGTTCTCCCCAGAGTTTCATCGTCTATAAACGTTTAGCCTAAAGCAACATAGAAGAAAGGAAAGGTAATGATGTGGAGAAAGGAGGAACAGAAAGTGACGCAGGCAGCAGTGGGGATGAAGCCCTGCAGTGTAACAGGCATCCTGGATGGAAGGTGGCAGTAGGAGATGGCCCTTAAGATGCTGTGTCATCTGCAAACTGCCCGTCCATTTAACCCCCTCAGAACCACGCCTCAGAGAAGCAAATTGCCACCTATTGCTTCCTCAGTATTTTCTGTGCATATAATGATTAGTCAATACATTATCAAATATTCATGTTGCAAATAACACCTTTTCAGGGATTAAAAGGACTCAGTCTAACACATGTTTTGTGTTGAATATCATTCATCTTACTAAAGATCTTGTTTTTAAGAAACATTCAAGGGGAGGCTATAGCTCAGTGGTAGAGCACACGCTTAGCATGCATGAGGTCCTGGGTTCAATCCCCAGCGCCTCCATTAAAATAAATAAATAAACCTAAGTAACCCCCCCAAAAATAAATAAGATTTTTTTTAAAAAAAAGAACCATTCAAGACCCCCATCAACTAGCTTCCCCCATTTCAAGGAAATGAAGGTCAGCTGCACTGAGCGCTGTGTCTCCACGTCTTCCCTTGCTCAGACATGCTGGTATCTTGGGCAGCGCTGTACTCTTCAGTCTTGCAATACTGCAGATGATTTCAATTCCTAAGGACATTCAGCTTTATTAAATATGACTTGCCATGCTCCCTCTGATAGCACATACACCAACGCTCCAACACTACTGAGATGATTATGATTAGCATGGCCCCTGCACAAATCCAAGACGCTTTCCTTATTCTTACAGATTACCGTGGAAATATAATTGATAAAAATATTCAAGTATTTACCTGTAGGGAAGGATAGGAGCAGATATAGAAACTAGACTTCTGATAATATCTTGATTTATAGATTTGACTTTAGAACCATGTGAATGTTTCATGTAATTATTTGAAAACCAGTTAAATCACAGTGTAAAACAAGTATCTCTAGAAAGCAAAAGCAAAATAAAACAAATGACTGAGATCAAGATGAAGGCATAACCATACAGAGAGGAATTACTTCAAATCAACAGTATTTTGACTGTCGCTAGGAGCAGATGCCTTAAGGTCAGAAGAACTTAAAAATTTTTAAAGTTGTCTTCAGTAACCATATAGTTAGCAACGTGCAATGTTGGTATTGTAATTCTAAAACTGTTTCACATATTGTAGAGTGAAGCAAATAAGTAATTATGCTACTGTTATTAGGAACCAAGGTTTTTTTTAAATAAGAGGGATAAGCATAAAAATCAGAAGTCTTAAATATATTAAGAAAAGCACTAAAATCCTAAATTTGAATTGAAAATATCAAGTTGAGTTCATTATGCTTTTTTCTCTTTCTAAAAAAATACAGTTTGCCTTGCTCTGTTCACTGAAAAGGCTAGAAACAATTATCCAAGCCAGTAGCAAGAAGCACCCCTCACACTGCCCACCTGGCAGTTTTTAGACATTATGTTCCACTGAGATGAACCAGAGCGCCCAGCCAGAGAACTCAGGTGCCAACGTGAAGAGCCTTCTGCTGGCCAGTGAAGAGAAAATTTGAGCATTAGTGAAAGTAGCAGTTG